AAAGAGTGATTGACTCGAGATACCCCAGCGGTCAGTGGGAGCAGCTCTCGCCCAAAGAAGCCCTGGACGCCATCAGTGGAATGGTTCTTCAATCTTCAAACCAAGCTGTGAAATGGAACGAGTTTTTCAACAGCAAACAAGGTGAAGAGGAGCCCATGAAAAGGTATTTTCAACGATGCTTCTCAGAAGCAGTGGAGTGTGAGTATAAATGTCCCACCTGTGATAACGACCTCTCTGAGTACATGCTACTACGTAAAGTTATGGTGGGCCTGAGTAACCCAGTGTTGAAAAGGGAAATTTTCCAGGGGTACTCTAGTTATAATAGTGTTGAAGTGCTTAGAAACAAATGCATGTTATTTGAGGCAGCAGTGAGAGATGCTGGTGTATTGTGTCGTACGTCTGGCCAGGCAGTGGTGGGAACAGTTGCGGAGGCAGTGGCGGGTGGTGATGACGTCACCAGTGAGCCTGAGGTAGCTGCCGCCCGACCTCCACACCCAAGTCGAGGACACTGTGGTAATTGCGGCGTGTCACATGCACCTGGTAAAAGTAACTGCCCTGCAAGTGGGGCTACATGTCGCAATTGCGGTAAGGTTGGTCACTTCAAAAGGTGTTGTAGGAGTAAGTCAACCCTAAGTGCTCCTGTGGATGTGTCAGGCGCTGTTACAGTGGCAACAGCCCAGCTATCCCGCCACCCCAGGTTACAAGTGTTCGTGTCCCAGGCCGGGGGCAATTCCCCCGCCACCCCTGTGCTGGCTGTAGCCGACACAGGTGCTATGGTGTGTGTGGCAGGCGCATCCCTGCTCCGGGACATCGGTTTGTGTCCGGGGCAACTTCGGGCCCGTAATGGCTTAAGGGACGTGGCGAACAAACAGCTCAAGTTTCTGGGGTCCGCCCCCTGCCGCCTCGGTGTGGACGAGGGGTCCACCATCCAAGAGGTCTACTTCGTGCAGACAACCAAGGCCCTCTATCTGTCATTGGAGGCCTGCAAGTGACTCAACTTGGTGCCTGTCGACTTCCCGCTCCATAGACGTGCTGTGGCTGCCGTGGGCAATGGAGGGATCTACCTCCGAACCGTTTACCTGAGAGCAGCCGTTTCCCGCCGAGGCCAGTTGAGATACCCTTGCCTCCTTTGGAGGAGAATGTGGCCAGGCTGGAGGCATGGCTACTCACGCACTTTTCGTCTACCGCATTCAACACCAGCAGGTCCCCACTGCCAGTCATGACTGGTCCCCCTCACCGTATCCACCTGACGCCCGGCACGACCCCCTACGCCTGTCACACACCCGCTCCCGTTCCGAAACACTGGGAAGCGGAGGTGAAGGCCCAGTTGGAGGAGGACGTCAGGAGAGGCGTCATCCAGCCAGTGCCTGCTGGTGAGGCTACGGAGTGGTGCGCCAGGATGGTCGTGGTGGCCAAGAAAAACGGTCAGCCCAGGCGCACTGTGGACTTCCAACGCCTCAATGCAAGCTGTCTGAGGGAGACGCACCACACACCTGCACCATTCGACATGGTGTCTGGGGTGCCAGTGCACTCGTTCAAAACCGTCGCCGACGCCTTTTGGGGATTTCATCAAGTGGAGTTGGAGGAGGAGAGTAGACGCCTGACCACATTCATCACGCCGTGGGGACGTTTTCGATACTGCAGGACGCCCATGGGACATTGCTCAGCGTCAGATGCTTACACCAAGAGGTTTGACGACGCTATTCAGGATGTGCCCCGCAAGTACAAGTGCGTGGATGACACTCTCCTCTATGACTCCAGTGTGAAGGGGGCGTTCTGGCACACTTACGATTTTCTGGAGACCTGCGCTCGCACAGGTATCACGCTGAAACCAGAAAAGTTCTTGTTCTGCAGGAGAGAAGCTGAGTTTGTGGGTTTCCTCCTGGGGTGGGACCTGTACCAGCCCACTGCCCAACGTCTGTCAGCCATCAAGGACTTCCCCATGCCGGATCAGCCATCAATCACTGACATCAGGTCCTGGCATGGCCTGGTTAATCAGTTGGCTCCCTTCCTTGCCACTGCACCTGTGATGGAGCCCTTCCGTGAGCTCCTCAAGAAGCCAGTGGGCAAGCAGGTGTATTGGGACGACCAGCTGCGGCTCAAGTTTCGCCAGGCCCAGGACACCATCTGTCAGTTGGCCAGAGACGGCTTGGTGTACTACGACAAATCCAGGCCTACGGCAGCTGTCACTGATTGGAGCAGGGAGGGCATCGGCTTCGTCGTCCTGCAACAATACTGTGCCTGTGCCTCTCCAGAGACGCCCTTCTGCTGCAGAGGAGGGTGGCGGTTGGCTCTGTGTGGTAGCCGACATCTGAGCACGGCCGAGGCCGGTTATGCTGCAGTAGAAGGGGAGGCCCTGGCTGTGGTGTGGTGCCTGCGCAAGGCCAGGCTGTTCCTCCTTGGCTGCCCGAACCTCATTCTGGTGACGGACCACCGCCCCTTAGTTGGCTTGCTAGGGGACAGAGCCTTCACGGATGTGGCGAATCCGCGCCTGTTCAGGCTCAAGGAGAAGACCCTGCAGTACCGATTCACGGTCAAATACTTGCCAGGGAAGCGGAACTGTGCAGCTGACGCCCTATCCCGCTTCCCCTCCCTCAGGGCGGCGCCTGATGCGGAGGACATGGACCAAGAGGAGGACCTGTGTGCTGCAGTGTGTGCAGTCACAATCGCAGCACTGGATCAGGATGGGTGCATCACTATGGACGAAGACACAGTGTGCAAAGCGGCGGCGGACGACCCAGTGTACCAGATTCTAGTGTCGAGGGTGCTGGCGGGCGACTGGCACCCCCACAAGTCACAGGAGGTGGCCTGTCTGCGCCCGTACTTCTCGGTGAGGGACAGGTTGGCTGTGGTCAGGGGTTTGGTCACCTACACCTTTGACCAGGGCTGCGTGCGCCTTGTCATCCCCGACTCCCTCCGCCACCGGGTCGCCGTTAACCTGCATGTGGGGCACCAGGGCCTCGACTCAATGCTCAGGCGGGCCCGGCAGTCTGTCTATTGGCCTGGCATGGAGGGTGACCTGCAGTATCATCGGTCCCGGTGTGCTGCTTGCGAGACCCACGCCCCTTCCCAGCCTCCGGAGTCGTTGGTTCTGACCCCAGCGCCAGACTATCCCTTTCAACAAGTGGTGGCCGATTTGTTCCACCTGCAGGGCCGCACGTACCTAGCATATGCTGACCGACTGACAGGTTGGCTGGAGATCGCCCACTTCCCCAACGAGGCCACCTCTGGAAAAATCATCGCCAGTCTGCGGGCCTACTTCACGAGGTGGGGGGTACCTGAGCAGATCTCCACAGATGGAGGTACCAACCTTGCCAGCCTTGAGATGACAGATTTCCTCAAGTCATGGGGGGTCGAGGTGCGCCTCTCGTCGGCCCACTTCCCCCAGTCCAATGGCAGGGCAGAGGCTGGGGTCAAGGCTGCCAAGAGGCTCCTCAGGGATAATACTGGGCCCGGGGGTAGCCTGGACTGCGATAGGACATCCCAGGCCCTCCTCCAGTACCTGAACACGCCTCTGCGGGGGGTGAACAAGTCGCCCGCCCAGCTTGCCACCGGCCGCCAGCTCCGTGACGGCGTTCCCGTGGCCAGACAGCACTATAAGGTGGACCAGCACTGGCGGCGGGCACTTCGTATGAGGGAGGTGCGCTTGGCCGAAACACAGGATGGGGTCCTGTCGCGGAGGGAGGTATCCCGCCAGCTGGCTCCCCTAGTCGTGGGCACGCAGGTGCGTGTGCAGGACGCAGCTACCAAGCTCTGGGACAGGACAGGCATAGTGGTGGAAGCCCGCCCTCACAGGCAGTATGCCGTCAGGTTGGGTGGCAGTGGCAGGGTGTCCATCCGAAACAGACGCCACTTGCGAAACGGCTCCACACCTGTGCCTACTACTCCGGTGGTGCACCAAGCTGTGCCTCCTGGGCCCCCTTCTGCTGTGCCCTCCATACCCGCGCCCTCCTCCGCACCCACGGCCCCTCCCCAGTCGAGCGCGGCCAGGCCCAGGAGAGGCCGTAGGCCTCCGGGCTGGTTGACGGACTACGTGGTGTAGTGTATGTGATGTAAAATCAGTTTAGAGGTTTTTTTTGTTTTTGTTTTGTTTTTGTTTTTTTTTTCCTTTGTTTGACTGGTTTTTCCTGCATTATTGTTGTTTTTATGAATGCATTGTTTTCCTTTTGTTAGTTCAAAGGTGCATTGTCATTTCCTTTTAACTTGGGGGGGAGATGTAAGAGTGTACCATCGTACGATATGTTTTCCCATGTTGAGTGGGGGGGCTTGTCCTTGGCAGCGCCTGATGGCCAGTGCCCAGCTGACGCTGTTATAATAAAGTCTATAGAAAACATGGTCTATGACTCCAACCTCTCACAGTATGTAACAGCACAATTTGTATTATATGAATATATACCCAATGTATATTACCCATGTATTCACCAAGTCATTCATCCATGAGTATGACAAACAACAACATCCTGTGAGGAGCGTTGACAACTCCCTCTCCCTGGTGTGAGAGAGAGACTGTCATATCACCTGTTACTCAGTGAACAACTCACTTAAGTGTTCTCCCACATAAGTGCACTAAGACACTTCCCTTAGTGTAGAAGAGAAGGTGCAAAATACTCTCAACTGAACTCAGTACCTGTGAAACTATATTTTTCTACAATAAAATAAAACCAACAAAGTGTTTACTTCAGCCCTGCCACTTATCAAATCAAGATCTAATATATATACAAATATATATATTGTGTGACCAACACACTGGTGGCAAGCGGAGAGACGGATTATAAGAAGAATCGGCCAAACACTCAGAAATAAACATTACTTCAAGTGATTCTTGTGACTTAGGTGGCATCCTAAGTGAATCAGCAGCAAACAAGCAACTACAAGAAATTTAAGTGGACAGTGGCTATAAACACTTGCAAAACGTATACATAGAGATACAGTGGTAACAAAAACATTATACAAAATTGCAAACTTAGCAGTTAAACCATCAGTGACACCTACTACTGAAGGTTAAACCCGACTGGAGCCGAGAGCAGTCGAGCCTACCCGAGTGTGGGCTGAGATTACCACCAGCTAACACTATATCACCGGAGTTTAGGAAGGTTGTGGTTCCAGACAATCAAACAATCTCTTGCTTAAACAATCAAGACTCGTCGGTGTGCAACAGAGCACAACCCCAGATCAGCCCCCAGGCTGATCGCACCAACCAAGAGTTCAGCCCCAGATCAGCCCCCAGGCTAATCGCACCAACCAGGAGTTGAGCCCCAGATCAGCCCCCAAGCCGATCGCTCCAACCCAGAGGTCAGCCTCAGATCATCCCCCAGGCCGATCGCTCCAGCCCAGAGGTCAGCCCCAGATCAGCCCCCCAGGCTAATCGCTGCAAGACCCTGCTCAGCCCCTAGACCGATCGCCGCAAGACCCAGGTGGATTACAACAAGACGTGACGTCATCCCTCCCTGAGAAGGACGTCATCAACTCCTGACGTCATAGCCAGCGCGATGTTCTACGCACTCTCCACTCAGGTAGTTCACAAACAATCATTATTTTATAAACTACACAAACACAAGTGAACTTAAAGAAGTCTTCACATGTATTCAATATAAAGATACATAGATAAACACATTTAAGAAGTACGTCTTCTACTTACAAAAAGTATATATATATATATATATATATATATATATATATATATATACTTTTACATACTTTTAGTAATTTTTAATACTTTTATTCATTCTATTTTATTCTCCTATGTCAGTTGATATTAATACTGAAGCGGGGCCTTCTCGGATGGGTCCCACTGGTCGGGAAGGTTGTGGACCCCAGGGCCGACCTGATCATCTTCAAGTTACTGGGGCTTCAACTGACGCCACCGCGGTTACTGGAGGATCGGCTTTTTTCACACTTCATTTTTCCAACATTCGCGGACTGAGATCCAATTTTTCTTCTGTGGAGCACCATCTATCAACTTCTTCCCCCGACCTCTTACTACTCTCCGAACTTCAACTGACCAAAGCAGCTTCACCCCAAACCTTTTCAAGTCTCTAACTACAACCTTTATACCTCCTTTTGTTCTAAGGGAGGTGTATGCGCCTACTGCAATACACGTACACCTATAGCCCGACTCACGGATCTTGAATCTCCCCATTATGATGTCATCTGGCTCAAAATATCTCTACCTACTGTGACTATTTTTTTTTGTTTCCTATGCTGTTCTCCCAACTCTACCAACTCTACACTATTCATACTCAATTTTTGCCCTCTTAGGGTCTTCTGACCACAACCTTATTTCTATTAAATCAAACTGGGCACGACCACCTCCCCCACCCCCCTCTAAACGTCAACTATGGCACTATTGGAGGGCAAGTTGGCAAGCCTTGCGAAAATTCTTCACCGACTTTCCTTGGGATGAATGTTGCTTTTCCACTCGGGATGCCTCGGTATGTGCTGACAGCATTGCTGGGGTTATACAGGGCGGTATGAGTGCATTTATCCCATCTTCTACCAAAACTTTCACATTACAATCATGGTTTGATCACTCCTGCTCTCTTGCATGCAGGGTGAGAGATAGGGCATATCGAGCTATGAAACTATCTCCTTCTCCTATTATCCACACCTCTTTCATTACTTCTAGGAATCGTTGTAAGGCTATTCTTCGCAGGGCCAGGCGGAATTTTATTAAAAGAAAGACCGCTGTCCTGACTAATTCTTCATCTAGTAAATCCTTCTGGTCCTTAACTAAAAACATCTGTAACAACTTCTGCACGCCTTCTTTTCCTCCCCTCTTCCGTCCCGATAACTCTTTAGCCAACTCTCCCCCTGACAAAGCCAACCTCTTTGGCACCTTATTCTCCTCTAATTCCACCTTAGACGATTCCCACTGTATCCCTCCTACCCCTGCACCTCCTACTGAACCAATGCACTTTCCTATAATCTCCACTCGCAGGGTTGCCGGTGGGTTATCCAGGTTGGATGTGAGTAAGGCGCATGGACAGGACGGAATACCCCCTCGTGTTCTGAGGGAGTGTGCTGAAGCCCTGTGCTTGCTCGCCTCTTTCGCCTTTGCCTCAAAACCCAAACTTTTCCTTCTTCCTGAAAGCATGCCTTGGTTCAGTCTATCCCGAAGAAGGGTGACCATTCTAATCCCTCTAACTATCGCCCCATTGCCCTAACTTCATCCCTCTCTAAGATTTTCGAAACTATCTTGAACTCCCATTTTCTCCGTCACCTTGAACGCCTTTCTCTTTTGTCGGATCACCAGTATGGCTTTCGCCAGGAGAGATCTACTGGTGATCTGCTCTCCTATTGCACCCATCTTTGGTCATCCTCTCTTAGGGATTATGGGGAAACTTTTGTCGTGGCCCTCGACATCTCCAAAGCATTTGACAGGGTATGGCACAAGTCTTTGCTATCTAAACTTCCCTCTTTTGGTTTCTCTCCCCCACTTTGTTTTCTCATCTCTAGCTTCCTTGAGAACCGATCCATGGCAGTTGTTGTCGAGGGATCGATTTCTCGCTCTTTCTCTACCAGTAGTGGCGTCCCACAGGGTTCTGTTCTTTCACCAACTCTCTTCCTTCTTTTTATCAATGATTTAGTTCACACTACAACTAATTCTATCCATTCTTACGCTGATGATTCTACTCTTCACTCTTCCTCACATTTTCCCCTTCCTCCTTACTCTCAAACTAGATCTGTTGCTAGAACTGATATCATTACTTCTATCGACGCGGATCTGTGCAGCATCTCTGAATGGGGAGGTACAAACTTGGTTAAGTTCAATAGTAATAAAACTCAATATTTACCAATTACACTTTGTAAATTAGACGATCTCCCACCAATTACATTTCAGGACGCTATCATCCTCCCAAATTCTGAAATAAATATGTTAGGCCTCACCATTTCCTCCAATATGTCCTGGAAATCACACATCCTTAGTATAACTAAAGCTGCCTCCCGAAAGTTGGGAATGCTGTACAGATGCCGCAGCTACTTCACTCCTGAGCAGTTGCTCCAAGTATATAAGGGATTCATTCGTCCTAACTTGGAATACTGCTCTCATATCTGGGGTGGCTGTTCTTCTGTCCAACTATTAGATAGGGTGGAATCAAAGGCATTTCGTCTTATTAACTCTCCTCCTTTAGTCGACAATCTCTCTTCCCTTTCTCTTCGCCGCAATGTTGCTTCACTCTCTCTCTTTTACAGGTATTTTAACGGGGAATGTTCGGTGGATTTGGCATCCTGTGTACGGCCGGCAAGGACGTGGGTTCGTAACACAAGTCTTGCCCGCGGTGCCCACCGTTTCTCTGTGGATGTCGGCCACACGAGAATAACCCGTTATAGTACCTCCTTCTTTCCTCACACAGCCAAATTGTGGAATGCTCTGCCTTCTTCTGTGTTTCCATGCTCTTACAATCTGTCTCACTTTAAAAAGCTGGTTTTCTGGCATCTTCGTGGTGTAGATTAATAGTATTACCTTTTTTCTATATTTACAATTTATTTCCGTTCTTTTTTTTTTCGCCCCCCAGGCTCCGTTGTGGGTCGTTTGACCTGTGCCCGGGTGGGCTAATTCCAGTAAAAAAAAAATATATATTATATATATATATGATATATATATATATATATATATATATATATATATATATATATATATATATATATATATATATATATATATATATATATATATATATATATATATATATATATATATATATATATATATATATATATATATTTTAGTATTTTATATACTTTTATAACTAATATATATTTTCTCTTCATTTCATAACTCATTATAAATATTTTTTGCATTACTCTATGAGTCTGCAACGTAGTGAGTCTTTATACAGGGAGTGAAGTGATAAATAGTCCTATACATGGACCCTCTTCCA